TTTACCTCTTCCATAGCTCTCTGAGCAATTTATTCCTTTTATTATCAGAGTAGATAAGATTTTTAGTAAAGCTGAATGCTTTCAAGTGCTGTTTCTGGAGTCAGATAGGCCTGTGTTTGAATCCTAAATCTGCCCCTTACCATCTGATTAACATTGACCAAATCCTCTAGCTTCATTAAGCCAGGTCTCCTTGTCTGTCTTGGAGATAAGAATGATACTTAGTCCTGGCGTGTATTGTGAGGATTAGGTAAAACAATGCATGTGGAGTTCTCAGCACCTTGCCCGCCTTGGAGTTAAAGCTGAAAAAATGCTATTATGGGAAAGTGCTATTACAAAGGCCCATTTGTAAGTTGCAATGCTGCCTAATGGGCAGTAGAGGGAGCACTGTCATTGGGAACTGGACTTGAGAACTCTAACTTAAGATAGGTAGTAAGCCCCTGTACAAGACATTGTTTTGGTGGAGCTTGAGTGACCTATACACAGATGAGCTACTAAGACCCACACCAGACTGCCTTGTCCCAATAATCCTGCTGTACCACTCATTTGATACCAGCTACCTTGGAATCCAGTGTATATTTCTGTATGTATTGATAACGTGTTCTGTCAGTCCAGCATCCAACTCTAACTCACTCCAGTTCCCTTGGGACACACAAGAGAGGAAGCTTGGACAGGAGAGGTAAGGTGCCACCACAAAAATAAAAACAAAACAAACAAATGTTTATATTCTTTGTATAAGAATTGGGAGAACGTGGAGCTGGCTTACACCCTGCGGCAGAGAGAGTGATACCTTCTCTTCCAGCCTCACTGCCTCCAAAAAGCAGCTCTACTCAGCACAGCAGAAGAAGCAGTCAGAAGAACTGACTGAATCCTCTCTGCCTCCAATTTACAGGTGTGAACCTGCTTATCTCACTTTACCTCTCTTCATCTCATCTCCATTTGAAATCCCATCTGGACAACGATGGGGAAGGGAAGATGGAGGGTTAACCTAGTGACCTCCAAAGTTTCTTACAACATGGTTATATTTATTACTCTATTAGCAATAGCTGCTGAGCATTTTTCCTTATCTCATTCCTGACATTAGATCTTTGAATCTTCCCAGCAATTTCGTGTGAGCTATAATATCCCCATTTTTACAGGGAGTTTGGGACTCAGAGATTAGGTAGCTTAACCAGCTTGGTACTGCTAGAAAGTGGCAAAATCAGAACTAGAATCTATTTTTCTGAAAATCTATAATCTGGTATTTCCTTCTTAAAATGAGGCAAAAAAAAAAAATTAGCGGTAGGGCTTATAACGAGGGCAATTAGGGGACCATTTAAAGGGGAGAGAGATCCCTGGGGCCTTAGGGCCAGGTCCAGGGTGCCACAGGACTGTCAACCGTACCTACTTCCACCTAAATTTAGTAGGTCTCACAGAAGCTGTCGGTCTGATAATTCAACCTTGTTCTTAATTTGTATATTCTGGATAGTTGTAGTTGTCAGATATATGTACAGGGAATATTTTCTTAACAATGACATTTTTTATAGGTAATCTTTTTTTTTTTTTTTTTTGCGGTACGCGGGCCTCTCACTATTGTGGCCTCTCCCATTGCGGAGCACAGGCTCCTCCGGACGCCCAGGCCCAGCGGCCATGGCTCACAGGCCCAGCCGCTCCGTGGCATGTGGGATCATCCTGGACCGGGGCGCGAACCCGTGTCCCCTGCATCGGCAGGCGGACTCCCAACCACTGTGCCACCAGGGAAGCCCATAGGTAATCTTTTTTTTTAACTTTTTATTTTATATTGGAGTACAGTTGATTAACAATGTGTTAGTTTCAGGTGTACAGCAAGGTGATTCAGTTATACATATACAAGACTTTAAATTTTTTTCATGAAATACAAGTTGTTGGCTTTTTTCCTGTTAGTTTTAGTGTTTTTATGTCCTTTCTAAGAAACATTTGCCTACCCCAAGTCACAAAGATAGTCTTCTATGTTTTCTTCTAGAATCTTTATAGTTTTAGCTTTTAAGAACAGTTCTATGATTTAGCCTGAATTAAGTTTTATGAGGCATAAGGTAGGGTTCAAAGTTAATTTTCCTCATGCATTTGTTCAACTGTTCCAGAACTATTTTGTTAATAAAACTTTACTTTCCTTAAATAAATAAATAAATAAAGGGGAGAGAGAAATCTCTGAAGGCCTTTGAGCTTGGGAAACCTTATGGGGATTGCACTTTAGAGTGTTTTTGTTTGTTTTGCTTTGGATTCTTTTGGGGGATATTTTTGGTTTTGGGGTTTTTTTGTTTGGTTTCATTTTGGGGGTTTTTGTTTTGTTTTGTTTTGTTTGTTTTTTGTTTTCTGGCTCTGAGGCACTGATGAGGCCAAGGTCAGTGTAGGGTCAATAAATTGGGAACCTAGCTTTTTAGACTTGATTCTAAGAAAGAGAAGCAAAGTGGATGTAGAGATACCCGTTCTTAGAAGCCTGGCTTAGTTCATGAAATAGGAGAGGAAACAGAGGTTAAGCATATGTTTTAACCACGAAAAAGTGTCCATTTGGGTGGTGATTCCCTCATGATCTATACCTCTGGGTGACTGACTACTGTGGACAGGAGATGGTGTGGTGGATGGAACAGGGGTTCTGAAAGTGTTGTCTAAGGACCCCTGAGGATAGTCCCCCAGGTCTTTTCAGGGCGTCCACCAGGGTAAAGCTATTCTTGTAATAATACTGTTTTGCCTTTTCACTCTGTTGACATTTGCACTGATGGCACCAAAGCAATGATGGGTAACGTTGATGCCTTAGCATGAACCAAGGCAATGGTGCCAAATTATCCTAGTACTCATTGCATTCTTCACTACCACACACTTAAATTTTTCTAAATGCCAGTTTGAGTTAAGAATTTTCAGTGAAGCAGGAAAACGTATTAATTGTATTAGATCTCAGACCTTGAATCCATGTCTCTTAATATTCTGTGTGATGAAATGGCACATACACATATTAATATATGATGGTCATTTCAAGGAAAAGCACTTGTGTGACTGTTTGAGTTGCCCGCCCACTGTCCCGGCCACTTTTACTTGAAAGAATGACTGACAAACTATGGCTATACGGACGTGGGAATTTGGAAGACGTTTTCCTGAAAACGAACAAAGTGAGACTGTCACTTCAAGGAAAACAATTGGCAATATCTGTTGCCAATAACAAAACGGGAGTTTTTAAGCAAAAACTAGAATTTGGGAAGTTTGTATCTGTCATCATGAGTTTAACAGCTTTCAAATACTTAAAATACTTTTCTAATGAGATCAGTGGAGATATTAACTAATGTGATTTTCTGATATTGTATGATGAAGTATGTCAGCATCTGGAAGAGCTGCACAATTCAGTGAGCCAATATTTTCCAAATGGACAGTGTGTGATATTACAAAATTATTAGTGGGTAAGAGTTCAATTCAAAATACAAGGTATACCAATGGATTTTAATGTAACAGTATATATAAAGTTCTGTGATATGGTTTCACATTCCACAGTACAACTCACTCTTAAGGAACTACCACTTTTTGAGTTTTGGTGTGGTATCAAAGAAGAATATCCACATTATCTGAACAGGCTGCTAAAATGCTCTTCCCTTTTCCAATTATATATCTGTGTGAGTCCAGACTTTCTTCAAATACTTCAACCAAAACAATATTTGGCAATAAATTATATGTAGAAGCAGATATAAGAATCCAGCTGTCTTCTCTCAAAGCAGACATCAAAGATTTTTTTAAATGTAAATCAATGCTACTCTTCTGTTTTTTTGTGTCTATGTTGGAGAATACGCTTGTTTTCCATTTTTTAAATGTTTAGCACATAATGGGTTTATGACTATAATTTTCGATGAACAGATGTTTTAATTTTTCTCAGATTTAAGTTTAAGTACAATACATTAAAAAATGAATACAGAATAGAAATACACAAAAATTCTTTGGGCTTGTCAACAATTTTTAAGAGTATAAAGTTATCTTGAGACCAAACAGTTTGAGAACTGCTAGGAGTTCTTATTATTATTATCACATGATAATAATGTCTCCTGAAAGAGGAGGAGAATCCTGTGCGATGCTGGTCCCCACGATGGTGAAGCAAGGCCTTTGACCTTGGCAGATGGCTCTAGGCATGTGCATAAGCAGATTGAGTCATTCTTTCTACCTCCTTTTGTCTATCTTCCTTTATTTTTGTCTTTATTTTCCTGAACTTTTGTAGAACTCTTACTGCGTGTCAGGATGTTAACATCTGGCTCCGAAGAGATGAAACGAAAAGAGCACTAAGGAGGGAGTTGAAAGCCCCAGACTCTTACCCAGCCTCTGCAGCTAACTCACTGAGTCACTCTGGTCACCTCTCTGGGCCTCAGTCTTTTCAGATATGAAAGAGGAATCAGAACCAGATGAAGCCAAGGCTCCCTCCAGCTCTGTGATTCTAGGACCAGCCCAAGTCACAATGGGAGAAGGGCCCCAGGTGTGGGGAGGGAAGGAGGATACTGGGCTAGTAAGGGCAGGAGTCCACCTGCACAGGAGACGGCCCAAACCTTTGGGTGAGGTTGTCCTCCTCCTGGCGAGCAGACCCTGCTGGAATCCGGGCACAGTGAAGTCTTCGATTTGCTGTTTTCATCCTGGCGAGGTACCCCTTTCATCCCAGGGGCTGGCTCTTACCAAGATGAGTGGAGTCTGTAAGGAGGAGGCTGGGAAGCCAGGAATGTAGCTCCAGGCAAGTAAGTCTGCAGGGGGTCTCCGATGGTCCGGGGAAACCAGAAGAAAATGACTGTGTGTGACCCCCCTCCCACGCCCCTCCTCCTGACACCCACGGGCCACAGGCAGTGGCCGGAGTGATTGATGGGGATGCGGAAAGGGCGCCCTGCGAAGCGGCTTCAGCCAGACTGTTTCTGGTCTTCAGCTTTTCTAGAAGAGAGAGTGGGTGGGAACGACCCAAGTAAAGTCCCAGACTCTTAACGCTGACGCACAGGAAAGCCTCAAGTGGGAGGAGAAATGCAAATCCCCTACTGACGATGGTGTCAGCGGCTGGGTTCTGGGGAACTTGAAGGGCGATTCCGACTTTGGACTTGAGCACCGCCTGGGACCCGGGCTGAGAGAGCCAGGTAAGGAGGCCGACCACACCTTGGCGTTGCTTCTCCGGAGCAGCGCAGGCCAGGAAATGCTTCTGCAGGACGCTGCGGAGCCTTAGCTGTTCCCTTGCTGTTTTGACAGTTACTTCACGTTAACCTAGCTGAGGATGGGTAGTTTTAAAGAGAAGCGATCGACTCCACGATTCAAAGGTGCGCCGTGGCGGGTCTCTCGGGGAGACTCGGGCGCTCTGCCCCCGAGAATGTGAACGGTGGGTGGGACCGTCGTGGCTGCTGCGGAGGTGTGTCCTGGCGAAGGGCGGAGTGGGCGCTCCCTTCACTTTCTCAGCCGACTTCTCTCAACTGTAATGTCTGACATTAGATTGCGTGCCTCGGTTTCAGCAGACAGCCCCGCAGCTGAGGTAGCTAGTGATTGAGGCTTTGAGGAGAGCAGTGATATTTTAGGGCAGGTCTCCTCCTTTGCACGCTGCGGCTCACCTCACAACTAAAGCGGCACCATTAGCTGCCAGGCGGTGGGACAAAATGCCCGTTTATAGGGATCTTCTAGGACCAGGCATTCAAAGAGACTAGGCAGGCACTCAGTTTTCAAAAGAAATGCTCCATAGTTTTCTTGGGATGGGAGAATTAGCCCGTAGAGAGTGAAAGACGTTTTTAGAATCCTTTAAAGGCATTTCTAGAAGCTGCAACAGAAAAGAATGTCCTAAGACTGTGAACCTATCTTTTCCCTTTTCAGCCTTGAGTTCAGCTCTCTGGAGGATGGACTCAGGTCCTAGGAGTGATCTCTCTAACTTCAGGATGGGTTCAGTCCAGTTAATTGTTAGTTAGAAAACAGATTTTCGTCCAAATCATACCAAGGGTTTAACAATAGTAGCAATTACAATTATAAGGCTATTTTCAGCACCTGTTCTCTTGTCATTAACTAGAATAAATTGATAGAGCAGGGCAATGGCAATAGTAACATGGGAACAAATGTTCCAATTTTGGGTGGAATATGGTTACACCCAGCGTCTAGAAAGACGACCATGTCTGGTGTCAGGAGACCTCAGGTTGATCCTGAGGAGCTGTGCATCTTGGGCAAGAGTCGTTTCGCCTATGTGTCCCTCAGATTTTTTACATTTTAAAGCTGGGGTAATACTATCCACCTGTGCTATTCATAGCATCAGGAGTGCCACTCATTCTTCTCTTAATGAGCACTTATTGAGCACTTACAACACACCTAGGATTTTATGTGTAAGTATAAAGTGATAGGAAAGTGAAACATTTCTTTTTCCAGTTGCTTTCTTTAAGCAAAACATTGGCAATAATCTTTTTCTAATACATTTAGATCAGGGAAAAGGTGCCCCCAAATGGTTCCATTTGAAACCTGAGGAATATGTATATGAAATATATGAAATTTATTATCATGATGTTCTGTAGGCAAAAGTAAATCTTAACTTACCTACAAGATAGGTTGAAATACTATCGTGATTGATCACATAAAAGTTTTTTCAGTTTAATCTAGAATTACTGACAAAACAATAAAAAATTTGACTTTGAAAAAAGTAAAATACGGTAATTTCAAGGAGAGATGTCATATTAATTTCCCTGAGTTAAGAAATATGTCTAAAGCTTCTAAACTGGACAGATTAGGGTTATGTTGGGGAAACACATACTTTCGTTTTATGACAGGCTGCTAACTATGTATCAAGTGTGGTTTCTTCTTAAGTATCTTGAGGGTTTAACTACTGTCTGATGCATATCAGAGACTAATTAAAAGTAGACTTTAAAAGCTTTGCCTAGCCATAGCGGATCATTACAGAGAGAAAGAAAAATATTTATTTGTCCAGAGGTATTTTGAACTGAAAAATTTAGAGCCCACGAAAGTGTATACATGAAACTCTTCATAAAGATAAGTCTGAATTAGACTAGAAGACTTGGAACATAAGGCTGACTCCAGAAGCCAGCCAAATCTGAAATAAAGAAAAAAGGATTAGGCAGTTTTATATAAAAGAAGCTTTTATTGGGTGTTCCTCACACATAAAGCCTTAAGAGGCTCTTAGGACATATACTTGAGTATGTTATTTGCCTTCAAGTTGCTCAAAGCCTAATAGTGTAGAGGCAGCAAGAGATAGGGAAGGAGCTTGATGAGAATCCAAATCTGTGTACACAGGTGTGGGGTAGGGTGAGGGGTGTTGAGTGGGAGTGAAAGCTTTCTAGAGAAGGCAGAACCAGAGTTTCTGTTAGAACAAAGAAGGACGTGGCTTGGGGGCCGAGAAAGAATCCTGTTTCCTTCACTAGTGATGACGTAGGAAAAAGCTCAGAATTACATTGTCTTCGGATTGAAAATGTTTTAGCATTTCTGTTTTCTTTAATTGGGTGACTATAAGAGAATTTTTTTTTACACCTTTATTGGAGTATAATTGCTTTACAATGGTGTGTTAGTTTCTGCTTTATAACAAAGTGAATCAGTTATACATATACATATGTTCCCATATCTCTTCCCTCTTGCGTCTCCCTCCCTCCCACCCACCCTATCCCACCCCTCCAGGCGGTCACAAAGCTCCGACCTGATCTCCCTGTGCTCTGCGGCTGCCTCCCACTAGCTTCTATTTTACGTTTGGTAGTGTATATATGTCCATGCCTCTCTCTCGCTTTGTCACAGCTTACCCTTCCCCCTCCCCATATCCTCAAGTCCATTCTCTAGTAGGTCTGTGTCTTTATTCCTGTCTTACCCCTAGGTTCTTCATGACATTTTTTTTTCTTAAATTCCATATATATGTGTTAGCATACGGTATTTGTCTTTCTCCTTCTGACTTACTTCTCTCTGTATGACAGACTCTAGGTCTATCCACCTCATTACAAATAGCTCAATTTCGTTTCTTTTTATGGCTGAGTAATATTCCATTGTATATATGTGCCACATCTTCTTTATCCATTCATCCGATGATGGACACTTAGGTTGTTTCCATCTCCGGGCTATTGTAAATAGAGCTGCAATGAACATTTTGGTACACGACTCTTTTTGAATTATGGTTTTCTCAGGGTATATGCCCAGTAGTGGGATTGCTGGGTCATATGGTAGTTCTATTTGTAGTTTTTTAAGGAACCTCCATACTGTTCTCCACAGTGACTGTATCAATTTACATTCCCACCAACAGTGCAAGAGTGTTCCCTTTTCTCCACACCCTCTCCAGCATTTATTGTTTCTAGATTTTTTGATGATGGCCATTCTGACTGGTGTGAGATGATATCTCATTGTAGTTTTGATTTGCATTTCTCTAATGATTAATGAAGTTGAGCATTCTTTCATGTGTTTGTTGGCAGTCTGTATATCTTCTTTGGAGAAATGTCTATTTAGGTCTTCTGCCCATTTTTGGATTGGGTTGTTTGTTTTTTTGTTATTGAGCTGCATGAGCTGCTTATAAATTTTGGAGATTAATCCTTTGTCAGTTGCTTCATTTGCAAATATTTTCTCCCATTCTGAGGGTTGTCTTTTGGTCTTATTTATGGTTTTCTTTGCTGTGCAAAAGCTTTGAAGTTTCATTAGGTCCCATTTGTTTATTTTTGTTTTTAGTTCCATTTCTCTGGGAGGTGGGTCAGAAAGGATCTTGCTGTGATTTATGTCAGAGTGTTCTGCCTATGTTTTCCTCTAAGAGTTTGACAGTTTCTGGCCTTACATTTAGGCCTTTAATCCATTATGAGCTTATTTTTGTGTATGGTGTTAGGGAGTGATCTAATCTCATATTTTTACATGTACCTGTCCAGTTTTCCCAGCACCACTTATTGAAGAGGTGCTGTCCTTTCTCCACTGTACATTCCTGCCTCCTTTATCAAAGATAAGGTGACCATATGTACGTGGATTTATCTCTGGGCTTTCTATCCTGTTCCATTGATCTATCTTTCTGTTTTTGTGCCAGTACCATACTGTCTTGATTACTGTAGCTTTGTAGTATAGTCTGAAGTCAGGGAGCCTGATTCCTCCAGCTCCATTTTTCGTTCTCAAGATTGCTTTGGCTATTCGGGGTCTTTTGTGTTTCCATACAAATTGTGAAATTTTTTGTTCTAGTTCTGTGAAAAATACCAGTGGTAGTTTGATAGGGATTGCATTGAATCTGTAGATTGCTTTGGGTAGTAGAGTCATTTTCACAATGTTGATTCTTCCAATCCAAGAACATGGTATATCTCTCCATCTATTTGTATCGTCTTTAATTTCTTTCATCAGTGTCTTATAATTTTCTGCATACAGGTCTTTTGTCTCCTTAGGTAGGTTTATTCCTAGATATTTTATTTTTTTTATTGCAATGGTAAATGGGAGTTTTTTCTTGATTTCACTTTCAGATTTTTCATCATTAGTGTATAGGAATGCCAGAGATTTCTATGCATTAATTTTGTATCCTGCTACTTTACCAAATTCATTGATTAGCTCTAGTAGTTTTCTGGTAGCATCTTTAGGATTCTCTATGTATAGTATCATGTCATCTGCAAACAGTGACAGCTTTACTTCTTCTTTTCTGATTTGGATTCCCTTTATTTCCTTTTCTTCTCTGATTGCTGTGGCTAAAACTTCCAAAACTATGTTGAATAAGAGTGGTGAGAGTGGGCAACCTGTCTTGTTCCTGATCATAGTGGAAATGCTTTCAGTTTTTCACCATTGAGGATGATGTTTGCTGTGGGCTTGTCATATATTGCCTTTATTATGTTGAGGAAAGTTCCCTCTATGCCTACTTTCTGGAGGGTTTTCATCATAAATTGGTGTTGAATTTTGTCGAAAGCTTTCTCTGCATGTATTGAGATGATCATATGGTTTTTCTCTTTCAATTTGTTAATATGGTTTATCACATTGATTGTTTTGCGTATATTGAAGAATCCTTGCATTCCTGGAATAAACCCCACTTGATCATGGTGTATGATCCTTTTAATGTGCTGTTGGATTCTGTTTGCTAGTATTTTGTTGAGGATTTTTGCATCTATGTTCACCAGTGATATTGGCCTGTAGTTTTCTTTCTTTGTGACATCCTTGTCTGGTTTTGGTATCAAGGTGATGGTGGCCTCGTAGAATGAGTTTGGGAGTGTTCCTCCCTCTGCTATATTTTGGAAGAGTTTGAGAAGGATAGGTGTTAGCTCTTCTCTAAATGTTTGGTAGAATTCGCCTGTGAAGCCATCTGGTCCTGGGCTTTTGTTTGTTGGAAGATTTTTAATCACAGTTTCAATTTCAGTGCTTGTGATTGGTCTGTTCATATTTTCTATTTCTTCCTGATTCAGTCTTGGCAGGTTGTGCATTTCTAAGAATTTGTCCATTTCTTCCAGGTTGTCCATTTTATTGGCATAGAATTGCTTGTAGTAATCTCTCATGATCTGTATTTCTGCAGTGTCAGTTGTTACTTCTCCTTTTTCATTTCTCATTCTATTGATTTGAGTCTTCTCCCTTTTTTTCTTGATGAGTCTGGCTAATGGTTTATCAATTTTATTTATCTCCTCAAAGAACCAGCTTTTAGTTTTATTGATCTTTGCTATTGTTTCCTTCATTTCTTTATCATTTATTTCTGATCTGATTTTTATGATTTCTTTCCTTCTGCTAACTTCGGGGGTTTTTTGTTCTTTCTAATTGCTTTAGGTGCAAGGTTAGGTTGTTTATTCGAGATGTTTCCTGTTTCTTAAGGTAGGATTATATTGCTATAAATTTCACTCTTAGAACTGCTTTTACTGCATCCCATAGATTTTGGGTCATCGTGTCTCCGTTGTCATTTGTTTCTAGGTATTTTTGATTTCCTCTTTGATTTCTTCAGTGATCACTTTGTTATTAAATAGTGTATTGTTTAGCCTCCATGTATTTGTATTTTTTACAGATCTTTTCCTGTAATTGATATCTAGTCTCATAGCGTTGTGGTCGGAAAAGATACTTGAAACAATTTCAATTTTCTTAAATTTACCAAGGCTTGACTTGTGACCCAAGATATGATCTATCCTGGAGAATGTTCCATGAGCACTTGAGAAAAACGTGTATTCTGTTGTTTTTGGATGGAATGTCCTATAAATATCAATTAAGTCCATCTTGTTTAATGTATCATTTAAAGCTTGTGTTTCCTTATTTATTTTCATTTTGGATGATCTGTCCATTGGTGAAAGTGGGGTGTTAAAGTCCCCTACTATGAATGTGTTACTGTCGATTTCCCCTTTTATGGCTGTTAGTATTTGCCTTATGTATTGAGGGGCTCCTATGTTGGGTGCATAAATATTTACAATTGTTATATCTTCTTCTTGGATCGATCCCTTGATCATTATGTAGTGTCCTTCCTTGTCTCTTATAACATTCTTTATTTTAAAGTCTATTTTGTCTGATATGAGAATTGCTACTCCAGCTTTCTTTTGGTTTCCATTTGCATGAAATATCTTTTTCCATCCCCTTACTTTCAGTCTGTATGTGTCTCTAGGTCTGAAGTGGGTCTCTTTTAGACAGCAAATATATGGGTCTTGTTTTTGTATCCATTCAGCCAATCTGTGTCTTTTGGTGGGAACATTTAGTCCATTTACATTTAAGGTAATTATCGATATGTATGTTCCTATTCCCATTTTCTTAATTGTTTTGGGTTTGTTATTGTAGATCTTTTCCTTATCTTGTGTTTCTTGCCTAGAGAAGTCCATTTAGCAGTTGTTGTAAAGCTGGTTTGGTGGTGCTGAACTCTCTCAGCTTTTGCTTGTCCGTAAAGGTTTTAATTTCTCCATCAAATCTGAATGAGATCCTTGCTGGATAGAGTAATCTTGGTTGCAGGTTTTTCTCCTTCATCACTTTAAATATGTCCTGCCAGTCCCTTCTGGCTTGCAGAGTTTCTGCTGAAAGATCAGCTGTTAACCTTATGGGGATTCCCTTGTGTGTTATTTGTTGTTGTTCCCTTGCTGCTTTTAATATGCTTTCTTTGTATTTAATTTTTGACAGTTTGAGTAATATGTGTCTTGGCGTATTTCTCCTTGGATTTATCGTGTATGGGACTCTCTGTGCTTCCTGGACTTGAATAACTATTTCCTTTCCCATATTAGGGAAGTTTTCAACTATAATCTCTTCAAATAGTTTCACAGTCCCTTTCTTTTTCTCTTCTTCCTCTGGAACCCCTATAATTCGAATGTTGGTGCGTTTAATGTTGTCCCAGAAGTCTCTGAGACTGTTCTCAGTTCTTTTCATTCTTTTTTCTTTATTCTGTTCTGCAGTAGTTATTTCCACTATTTTATCTTCCAGGTCACTTATCCGTTCTTCTGCCTCAGTTACTCTGCTATTGATCCCATCTAGAGTATTTTTCATTTCATTTATTGTGTTGTTCATCGTTGTTTGTTTCATCTTTAGTTCTTCTAGGTCCTTGTTAAATGTTTCTTGCATTTTGTCCATTCTATTTCCAAGATTTTGGATCATCTTTACTATCATTATTCTGAATTCTTTTTCAGGTAGACTGCCTATTTCCTCTTCACTTGTTAGGTCTGGTGTGTTTTTATCTTGCTCCTTCATCTGCTGTATGTTTTTCTGTCTTCTCATTTTGCTTATCTTACTGTGTTTGGGGTATCCTTTTTGCAGGCTGCAGGTTCGTAGTTCCCGTTGTTTTTGGTGTCTGTCCCCAGTGGCTAAGGTTGGTTCAGTGGGTTGGGTAGGCTTCCTGGTGGAGGGGACTAGTGCCTGTGTTCTGGTGGATGAGGCTGAATCTTATCTTTCTGGTGGGCAGGTCCACGCCTGGTGGTGTGTTTTGGCGTGTCTGTGGACTTATTATGATTTTAGGCAGCCTCTCTGCTAATGGGTGGGGTTGTGTTCCTGTCTTGCTAGTTGTTTGGCATAGGATGTCCAGCACTGTAGCTTGCTGGTCCTTGAGTGAAGCTGGGTGCTGGTGTTGAGATGGAGATCTCTGGGGGATTTTCACCGTTTGATATTACGTGGAGCTGGGAGGTCTCTTGTGGACCAGTGTCCTGAAGTTGGCTCTCCCACCTCAGAGGCACAGCACTGACTCCTGACTGCAGCACCAAGAGCCGCTTATCCACACGGCTCAGAATAAAAGGGAGAAAAAGTAGAAAGAAAGAATTAGTAGAAGTAGAAAGAAAGAAAGAAAGAAGGGAGGGTGGGAGGAACAAAGGAAGGAAGGAGGGAAGGAAGGAAAAAAAGAAAGAAAGAAAGAAGATAAGGTAAAATAAAATAAAGTAAGATAAAATAAAGTTATTAAAATAAAAAAATAACTATTAAGAAAAAAAATGGACGGATAGCACCCTAGGACAAATGGTGGAAGCAAAGCTATACAGACAAAATCTCACACAGATGCATACACATACACACTCACAAAAAGAGGAAAAGGGGAAAAAAATCATAGATCTTGCTCTCAAAGCCCACCTCCTCAATTTGGGATGATTCGTTGTCTATTCATATATTCCACAGACATCAAGTTGATTGTGGAGCTTTAATCCACTGCTCCTGAGGCTGCTGGAGAGATTTCCCTTTCTCTTCTTTGTTCTCACAGCTCCCAGGGGCTCAGCTGTGGATTTGGCCCCGCCTCTGCGTGTAGGTCGCTGGAGGGCGTCTGTTCTTCGCTCAGACAGGACGGGGTTAAAGGAGCCGCTGATTCGGGGGCTCTGGCTCTCTCAGGCCGGGGGGTGGGAGGGGCACGGAGTGCGGGGTGAGCCTGCGGCGGCAGAGGCCGGCGTGACGTTGCACCAGCCTGAGGCGCGCCGTGCGTTCTCCCGGAGGAGTCCCTGGATCCCGGGACCCCGGCAGTGGCGGGCTGCACAGGCTCCCCGGAAGGGGGGTGTGGAGAGTGACCTGTGCTCGCACACAGGCTTCTTGGTGGCGGCAGTAGCAGCCTTAGCGTCTCCCGCCAGTCTCTGGGGTCCGCGCTTTTAGCCGCGGCTCGCGCTTGTCTCTGGAGCTCCTTTAAGCAGCGCTCTTAATCCCCTCTCGTCGCGCACCAGGAAACAGAGGCAAGAAAAAGTCTCTTGCCTCTTCGGCAGGTGCAGACTTTTCCCCGGACTCCCTCCCGGCCAGCCGTGGCGCACTAACCCCCTGCAGGCTGTATTCACGCCGCCAACCCCAATCCTCTCCCTGTGCTCCGACCGAAGCCCGAGCCTCAGCTCCCAGCCCCGCCCACCCCGGCGGGTGAGCAGACAAGCCTCTCAGGCTGGTGAGTGCCGGTCGGCCCTGATATTCCCGCATCCCTGTGCTCTCCTCCGCGGCTCCGAAGCTTTCCCCCTCTGCCACCCGCAGTCTCCGCCCATGAAGGGGCTTCCTAGTGTGTGGAAACATTTCCTCCTTCACAGCTCCCTCCCACTGGTGCAGGTCCCGTCCCTATTCTTTTGTCTCTTTTTTCTTTTTTCTTTTGCCCTACCCAGGTACGTGGGGGGTTTCTTGCCTTTTGGGAGGTCTGAGGTCTTCTGCCAGTGTTCAGTAGGTGTTCTGTAGGAGTTGTTCCACGTGTAGATGTATTTCTGGTGTATCTGTGGGGAGGAAGGTGATCTCAGCGTCTTACTCTTCCGCCATATTCCCGGAAGCCCCTCTCTTGAATAACTAGGCTTTAAAATGCTTAGGCCCTGGATTCTGCCTCACCCAGTTTCTGACTAAAACTGAAGTGGATTTAGCCCCTACCTGGCTTCTGAATAACTAGGCTTTAAAATGCTTAGGCCCTGGATTCTACCTCAGCAAGTTTCTGCCTAAAACTCTATAAGAGAAATTTTTTTCTCCGGTTACTTGATGGACAACATTGTCTTTGTCCGAAATCCAAGAAAAAAAGAAAACATGTACCATAGTTATTAATTAACATTATTTTTAAACTCTAATTTTCCCTCTTCTTTGTAGTATGACTCAGTGGAATCAAGTCCAACAGTTAGAAATAAAATTTTTGGAGCAAGTTGATCAATTCTATGATGACAACTTTCCTATGGAAATTCGGCATCTGTTGGCCCAGTGGATTGAAAATCAAGACTGGTAGGATCAAACATTATTGTATTTTCCCTAGAGGTTGATGCACAAATGCTTTATGCTCTATCCACGTGGATTTATTCTATGGTCCACTTTTGATTCAGTTGATACATTCTTATCAGGTAAAGAACTTTCCTTGAGGATTTGGAAAGCTTCCTTAACGGAGGAGAATCATTGTCCTTTCTGGTTTCATCCACTGTAGGTGAAAAAATGGCTCTAGTGCTTTGTTTTTTAATAAGCTAAACTCCAACGATTTCTAAGTATTAAAAAGACAAGAAGTAAATCTCTTGTTTATATCAATTCTCTATCATAGACTCAATATAAATATTTTTCTTAACATGTTTTACAAACGTTTTTTAAAGCTCTATTCACCTTGTACAATTAAAAACATATTTTGCTTTAAATAGTTGTCTTAAAATTTTTCTTTTGATAAAATATACATAACATAAAATTTACCATTTTAACCATTTGTTAGGTATACAGTTTAGTGGCATTAAGTATATTCACACCGTTGTGCATGCATCTCCAGAACTTTTTCATCTTCCCAAACTGAAACTGTGTACTTATTAAATAATAATTCCTCATTCTCTCCACCCTGGCCCCTGGCAACCATTATTCTGTTTTCTGTCTCTGAATTCAACTAGTCCAGGTACTTCATGCAAGTGTAATCACACAATATTCGTTATTTTGTGACTGACATTTTACTTAGCACATTCTTTCAAGGTTCATTCATATGAGCAGCATGTATCAGAATTTCCTTCCTTTTTAAGGCTGAATAATATTCTATTGTATGTATCTACTACATTTTATTTATTCATCCATCCTTCAGTGGACATCTGAGTTGTTTCCACCTTTCAGCTATTGTGAATAAAGCTGATATAAATGTTGATGTCAAGTATCTACTCAAGTCCCTGCTTTCAATTCTTTTAAGTATCTACCCAGACGTGAAATTGTATATAATTTTTTGTTTTTAATTTGAGGAATCTCCATACTGTCTTATACAGTGGCTGTACCATTTTCCATTGCCACCAGCAATATATAAGGGTTCCAGTTTTACATCCTCACCAAAACTTATTTTGTGTTTTCAATAATAGCCATCCTAATAGGTGTGAAGTGGTATCTTATGGTTTGATTTGCATTTCCCTAACGATTAGTGATGTTGAATGTACTTTCATGTGTACAATTTAATTTTTAAAAACCAGTAAATGCTTATCACTGCGGGGTATATTTATCACTTTAAAATGATTATGGTTAAAAAAAAAAAGTAGACATTTTACTAAGTTGTTTCCTGCTGTGTAATAGCACTTTTGTTTTTTAGGGAGGCAGCATCTAACAATGAATCCATGGCAACAATTCTTCTTCAAAACTTGTTAATACAACTGGATGAACAGTTAGGTCGCGTTTCCAAAGAGAAAAATCTGCTTTTAATACACAACCTAAAAAGAATTAGGAAAGTCCTTCAGGTGAGAATTCATTCTACTTTTTAAAAATATTTGGATTTACAAGTCCTAAATTTAGCAAAAACAAAAATGTAGCCTCATCTTAGTTCCAAACCAGATTTAAGAGGGAAAAAGCTGAATTCTCTTACTATTTTAAATTTTGTGCTCAATTTTATTTCATTACCCAATGTTTGTTTTGCACCAACTTTTGAATCTAAAATACACTACAACTGGGAGGGTATGTGATTTACATGTGACTGCTTACTAGGTATGATCAAATTGAGAATGTGGATCAGGTATTTGAAAGATGCTAGGTTCATGGCTATCTCTCCATCCTCCCTTGCCTTTGTCTCTTATGTAACAATTTAGACTTGGTATTGTTCTCATTCATAGGTGGAGGCATTATGGTTGTATGTGTCCTTCCAGATTTGGCTCAAACTTCACCTCCTTCAAAAGCATTCTGTGGTGCCCTGTAGCTTCCTATTCCAAAAGTTCACCCAGGCAAAGCCCATCTCTCTGTGTTCCCATAACACCTCCAACACATCTGTACCACAGCATTTAGTATATTCTACATTAGTGTTATTTCTAAGTTTTTCTTCTCCCTCAAATTGTGGGTTACTTGAGGCAAGGACGTTATATTCAGCTTTGAATTCCCAGTGCCCACCACACAGCTGGATATATAGTAGGTGTGTAATATTCATTGATTAAAGGGATGAATGAATGAAGTAAGTGAAACAGAGATCTAAAGAATTAAGGGCAGACTAATAATGACCTAAACCCAGAGATGCTTATGAAACAAACTCTGAACGTGGACAGCTCTAATATTTACTGAGTGCCTATACAACGTATTAGAGAACATGAAATATACATATGTCGTTTCTCAGTGAGGCTTCTTTAGAATCTCAAACTTACAATTAATGCATTTTTACAAAAATTTTCCTAGACTATAATAGAAATGTGCTTGATGTTACTAACACTTGTGAGAGGGACATAGGTATTAATTTTTTATTGTTGTTTGGATTGTTGTTTTTAATTGTTGTTATTGTTTTATTGTTGTTTGGATTGGATTTTTTTCATTGCTGTTTTACTGTTACATTTGCCCTTATAATCCCCTACAAATTTGCAAGACACTTGGCTGGGGGTAGGAAATGAACTTGTTGCCAACAAAACGGGATTTTTCACAGTGTAAAGCAAACTATCTGTTCCAGAGGTAAGACATTTAACCTTGGCTTCGTTAGTTAGTGCTCTAATCAGTAAACCTAAAACAGGGGTTTGGCATACTGCTACCCGCAAGTCAAATGTGGTCGCTGCCTGTTCTTGTACGGTCCATGACTGAGAATGGCTTTTACATTAAGTGGTTGAAAAAGAATAAAAGTAAAATAAATAAGTGGCATGAAAATTATAGGAAATTCAAATTTCTGTATTTTAGTGGAATGCAGCTTGGTTAGTCAGTTACGTATTGACTCCGGCTGCTTTTGCACTGCAGTGGCACCGTTGAGTAGTTGTGACAGAGACTGTATGGCTCCAAAGCCTAAAATAAAAATGTGTATATGTGTATTGTGTGTGTGTGTGTGTGTGTGTGTGTGTGTGTGTGCGTGCGCGCATGCGCGTGTATGTCTGTATTAAGCATATTTATCTGGCCATTTATAGGAAAGGTTGCTGACCCTTGGTCTTTGCTAGAGGGACATGGGTGGGTAAAATAGGTGATGCGTGGTCTTTGGAAATTCTGATTCTCAAAATGTGGCCTTGGGCAAGTCACTTAATTTTTCTAAATTCCTATATCTTTTCATGTAAATGAGGATGATTATTATCTACCTTTTGGGATTGTAAGAAAGACTGAAGCTTTTATTTTGGCAAAAAAAAAAATAGGCTTTCAAAAAACAGACATTTTTGTTGATAGGGAAAGTAGCAGGATCTTCTCTGTAAATCAAGGGTAAGTGTCCAGCCCATCATTTTTCTGAGTGGAGATAAGGTTGTGAGGGAGCCTAAGAACCCAACGGTAATTCCCAGTCACATTTCAGCTCAAGCACAAATGTCTCTGCTTAGGTCATGGGCCTTCCAGCATCTTGTCTCTGTCGACCTTTTCCAATAAACTGCCCCAAGCTCCTCAACATTCCTGCCCCAGAAAAATAGATCTACTCCTTGTTCCTGAGCACAACCAGCTCACTCTTGAATGACTCTGGGCCTTTGTCCATGACAGTCTCATGGCCAGGAATGCTCTGCCATCTCTCTTCCTCCAGTCCAGCTCCCATTCATCCCTAGAGGAGCTGTGGAGGTCCCAGAGCAGTAAGGGAGCCTTCACCGGTGCTTTACCCCTTATTCTCATTCCTCACGGAGCATGGGCTGCAAGACAAGCAGTATCTCATCTGTGCTAGATGTGTCTAAGCAGGTCACAAGCTCTTTGAAGTTAAAAGTCTGAGTTCCTTTTGTGACCTTCCTCTTCCCTCCAGTACCCAGCATGGTTCTACTACGAACTAGAGACTCCCAAAACAGTTTGATTGGTTAGGATATTTTGTATTTATTTTTATTTATTTATTTTTGGCCGTGCTGTGAGGCTTGTGGGATCTTAGTTCCCCGACCAGGAATTGAACCCGTGCCCCCTGCAGTGGAAGCTCAGAGTCCTAACCACTGGACCGCCAGGGAATTCCCTGGTTAGGATATTTTAAATGGACAAAAACATTTGTTCTTTCCTTTGAGTTATAAACTATACTTATTGGGTATTTATATTGATTCAGAACATTGCCGATTATGTTAAGACAAGTCTTTTTGATAAAACAAGATCCCCCTCCCCTCAAAAGAAAAAAAAAACACCTCCTGCTGAAAGAATAGTGACACTGTTCTTACCTGGTTTGAACATTTTCATCCTCTGGCATTTTAAATACAACCCATCATAACTATTATAGCATAAAAGAGCAAACAGTATTGTATCAGGGGAGCTAAGCAGGTATAAGGTAAATTTATTTTAGCTCTTGACAGAGCAACTGGGATCTCCAGTTTCAATATTTTAATTTACTATTTATATCCCACCTACTTCTGATAAGAATTTGGAATGGCTTGTTATAAAAGACAAACAAAACCATTGAACCAAGAGTCAAGGCAATCTCCGTGGTGGAAGCAGTGAACACTAATGTCCAGGTCGCCTTAGTCCCTCTAAGGGGAGGTAGCCTCAGGTGAAGGCCAGGAGCAAGGACTATGTTGGGTTGAATCCTGACTCTGTGACTTCCTTGCTGTGTGGCTCAGGGCAAGATGTTTACACTCTCTCGCCTCAGTTTCCTCAGCAGTGTGAGTGGAATCACAATGGTACCTACTCCACAGGGATGTTAGGAGCATTAAAAAAAATTGTAAAGCATGTGGTAAGGACTGTATTAGGGTTTGCTAACAATAAATATCTGTCCCAGATATTTCAAGAATGCTTCACCCTGTTCTTAGGACTTTTTAAAAAAAAATAATAGACTTTATTTTTTTAGAGCAGCTTTAGGTTCACAGAAAAATTGAGCAGAAAGTACAGAAAGCTCCCATATTCTCCCTCTCCACCTGCCTCTCCCCAGTTTCCCATATTATTATCTGGCATTGGTTTTGTACATTTGTTTCAGCTGATGAACGTATCGTGGTACATTATTATTAACTTAAAGTCCAAGATTGCATTAGGGTTTACTCTTTGTGTTGTACAAGTCTATAGGTTTTGACAATGCGTTATGTCATGTATTCACCGTTTCAGTTTCACTGCCCTAAAAATGTCCTCTACTCCACCAATTCATTTGTCCATCCCTCCCCCACTCCCTAACTCCTGGCAACCACTAATCTTTTTACTCTATAGTTTTAGCTTTTCCAGAATGTCATATAGTTGAAATCCTACAGTATGTAAACTTTTCAGATTGGCTTTCCTCACTTAGTAATATGCTTTTAAGTTTCCTCCGTGTCTTTTTGTAGCGTGATAGCTCTTTTTAGCGCTGAATGATATTCCTTTTTATGGCAGTAGTACAGTTTGTTTATCCGTGTTGGGGATTGATAAACAAAGCTGATATTAACACTTATGTGTAGGTTTTTGTGTGCATACGAGTTTTCAATATATTTGGGTAAATACCTTGGAGTTTGATTGCTGGATCTTTGTTCTTGGACTTTCTAGTGAGAATCTATTTTCCTTATTCGTCTTCCTGTCTGTGTCTTAGTCTGTTCTGGATGCTATAACAAAAGTACAATTGATTGGGTGGATTTTAAATAAAAGACATTTATTTTTCACAGGTCTGGATAGGAAGCCCAAGGTCAAAGTGCTGGCACATTCAATGTCTGATTCAGCTTTCTGGTTCATGGATGGCTGTCTTTTCCCTGTAACCTCACAGGGAAGCTCTCTAGGTTCTCTTTTAAAAGAACACTAATCCCATTCAAGAGGGCTCTGCCCTTATGACCTAATCACTTATAAGAGGCTCCACCTCCTAATACCATCACATCAGGGGTTAGGGTTTCAACATATGAATTGGGGAGACACAAATATTCAGCCTCTAACAACCCTTCTCTCTCTTTGTCCCTCAGAATGACTAAAAAAATTAAAATGGTGCATATTCATAACTTTAAAAATTGAAGCAATACAAAAATATGCAAAGAAAATATGAAATAATCCAAAATCTACTCCCCAGATATAACCATATTAATATTTCATGAACATCATTCCTAACATACATATATAAATATATGTGTATATATATATATGAAGCAATACAAAAATATGCAAAGAAAATATGAAATAATCCAAAATCTACTCCCCAGATATAACCATATTAATATTTCATGAACATCATTCCTAACATACATATATAAATATATGTGTGTGTATATATATATATATATACACATATATATATGCAGATAGTAGGGCAAGCTGCTATTGACATTTTATACTCAGTTGCTATCAGTGTCTTTGTAGCCTCCTGTGCCCCCACCCCCATCTCCACTCTGCTCTCTTCCCACCTGCAGTAACCACTCATCTAAATTTTAAGTTATAGAACCAAAAAAAGTTTTAAACTGTA